TAATTGGACAAGATTTTTAGTTTGTTTGGGTTTTTTTCCCCAAAAGGCGGCTTTGATTAGAAGCATTTCACTCCTCCAGGAAACACGTGTTATACTGTCCCTATTTATTTCAAGTCAGTCAAATGCCCCAGGATGTATATTCTGAGGTGTATATTCAAAGGAGCAGGTTAAAAAAGAAACTAAGACATTATTTGCTTTGTCCAACTAAAAAGGAAACTTTATGGTGGATTTTATTAATCAAAGTGTTCAAGCAATTAAATTGTATCCTATTTTGTTCCTAGGGAATTTGATCCTGAATTGGTAGAACATTAAACGTTAAACAGTAGTTTCTAAGCACCCCTTAAGAAAGGCATTTCCCGAGAAAATACAATTTCTTTAGGAAGAGTTTTGCCCATCTTCACTTCCTGTGATCCCAGGATATGGTGTCTGTTCTCTTCAAGACATCAGAATTCTGGAACCTTCTCCTGCCCCATTCACAGTCATTTTCAGGCAAACACCAGCAGTGAACATACAATTCTTTTCTGCCAAGTTAAAGAAAATAATTTTCCCTTTCACTACCTCCTAAAGATGAACATCAACTGTTTCACCACTTGTGATTCAAATCCATTAATTAAAATAAATATAAAGTAAAAACCTCTTTCTGCCAAGAAAAGGACAGATGGGGAAGTGGAGGAGGTGGAGATAGCTGATGTCTTCTGAGAGAAAAAACGGGGGGGGGGGGGGGGATGACAAGAAGCATGAAATTAGGGAGTAAAGTTAATTAAGAGAGGTAAAGGTTGTTTGGATTTAATTTACAGTTCAGAACTATTTTGGATATCATAATAATTGCACTACTTAAAGAAGAGGAAAACCTCTAGTACCAAATTGGTAGGGGAGTGTTACAATCTTAAATCACCTCTCAAAATGGTCATACCTGGCCTTTGGCAATGCTTCAGACTGAGCATAGCAAAGCCTCTGTTCATTATTGACATGTGAAAGCTACACCCTTTTTCCCCCTCAACCTCCTTATGCATGCTCCTAATCTTTCATTTCTTCCTCCCTTGTCTCCCATTGCTTGAAATAAGACGCTGGCAAGGAAGAGAAAAAAGGAATCAACCTAAGTCCATTTTCATTCTAACTCATGTGCACTGGTCTTTGGAATCACGTAGTTAAAACAGTGTTCACAGCTTATATCACACAACCCAATCTCTGCAATGTATTGGTGCAATGTGTACATCTAAAGTCTAACTTGAAGACTAAAAATTCCTGACCTTAGCATATTTAACTGAACAGAGAGTACATCACACAAAGTTCAATCAGAGTAAAGTGGAGCAGAGTTACTTTATAAGATCTTAGTGGAGCTAGACAGAAATAAGAGAATTATGGTATACTAATTTCAGATAAATGACATAAGAGAAAATTCATGTTTGGTTTTGTCTGAATTGTTTCCATCATCCACATTGGGCTAATGAGATGCTACAAGGAATCTTAGAGATTATCTCCCTGAATCATGAAGAAACAGGGATCTAGTGAAGTCAAGTGATTTGCTTAATAACACACAGCTAGTTAGTGGCAAAGCCATGCCTAGAACCAGCTCTTCTGCCTTTGCAACTATTTAATTTTATTCTTACAACTTGACATTCATTCATGAGAATGGATGACAAAAATATAGTAGCATTTTGTAAAACTGAAAGTCACAGTATAAACCCAAAATATTTCTATTTAAATGTAAGTTAGTCTAAAAGTAGGAACTTTTTTTATCAATTTATTCACTATGTTCTATACTAACATAAAAGGCAGATATAGGAGTAGATGGCAAGAGTTACTAGGAAAAAAGAAAACTTCCTGCCCACTGAAAAACAAACAAACAAACAAAAACACTACAGGCTGGAAACCCTGAGCATTTGAAAATGTCAATACTCTTGTACTCTTTTGACTGGGTCCCAGTGTGATCAAACAAGATGGACAAGCTGAATTTTGAAGAAAAATTTCAGAAAAGGCCAGATGGTAATCCATCTTGTGAATTAAGGAAAGTAAGTCCTCATGAAAACAAGGGCCATGTGAAAGACAAAATACAAGTCTACAATGAAGCGACCATATAAACGAGCAGGTAGTTAAGAAAAAAACATATATATGCTGGGAGCTCTTCCAGTTCTTCATTCCTGGTTAATTAAGCAACTATAAAAAAAAAAAATCTCAGCTTTACTCACACTTCTGTGAGCTTCCCCCATTCCTAATTTTAAATTACACGTGGGCAGGAGGTAAGATTTAAGCTTTATCAGTCTTACCTATCACCACATAGCTGTCAACTTGTGGAAATGAAAATGTGGAGAGAAAATACATTAAGAAATAGATTGGCAAAGAAATAGCACATCAGCAAGCCTTGTCAGCTCTACCTACAAAATCGATTCCTAATCTTTACACTAGTTCTCTTGTCTTTCCCCTGGATTACTACCTCCAATCAGAGTTTCTCCGCTGATGCACTCTCCCACCACCAATCTCTGAAAAATGTATATCAGATCAAGTCATTCCCCTGCCCAAAGTTCTCCAAAAGCTTCTCACCACACTTATAATAAAATCAACTCCCTACAATGACCCTAAACTCCCTATCACTCCATACCCATGGCCTATAAATCCTATACAATATGGCCCCTATCTACCTCCCCAACTTCATCTCCCTCCTGGTACTCTGAAGGTCACCATGTACTCTAACCCCACAGGTCTTTATTCTGGTCCCCAATTACACCAACATCCTTCCCACCTGGTCAAAATCATGGTATCCAGCACTCTAACAACATTAGAGCTGTTTCTTGGACTTGGAGTGCTCTGACTTTAGATTTTTCCATGGCTGACTCCTTAATATTCAGGAGCAGTTCAAACATCACCCCTGACAACCCAAATTAAAGTAACAGTATATACACACACACAGTTGCAAGTAAATTCTTTGGGAATACAGACATTGTTTGCTGAATCCCCTAAACCTAAAACAGTACCTGGTATCCAGTAGATACTCTATTTATCAAATGATAGATTTCGTCTATGGCAAACTTTCCCAAATCTTGTTTCTGCCTTGTATTTCTAGCATTTGTTCACTATCACTTCTTTTTGGTCTGCTCCCTTTTTAAAATTTCTTTTGTTCTTCATTCACTTATTGAAACACGGAGGAAAACAGAACAAGGAGCATAAAAAGAAATATGTTAATGTAATAGAAACCCACTCAGCCTGTGCTACTGACAGTGGGACAGAAGGTCAAGTAAAGTGCTTCTTAGTGTCAACGCCCTAAGCATATACTTCCTGGACCCTGTAGTGTCTAGAATATACTCAATGTTCATTGTATTGGTTGCATGGCTCCCTTAAAAAAAGCATGCCATATTTAACTGAAAAAGATTTACTGACCCACACCAATTACAAAAAGACCAAGAAGTCCATGTTTAACTTTTTAAGTCTAAAGGGACTTTAAACTCAGATAAGAGCTTACCTGATTCTCACACACCATTGTTTTAACGTGTCAGCAAGATAACCAGAGATGCACAGCCAAATTGTAAAGGAGCACTTTATTCTCACCAGCAGGCTGCGGGGGGCATAGTCTCCCCTCAGATCAGCAGCCACGATTCTTCTTGCTCATCTGATTTTAAAGACAGGAGCCCTAGCCTCCTTTTGACCCCCTCCCCCCAGGGGACTGGTACAATAGTGGGAGTGACAGTGATTACATAAGTCAAAATTAGCATTATTCACTGCTCACAAGTACCTGCAAATGCCTGCAAATACTGATACTGGAAACTGCAAATGCCTCCCAACACGTGGAGCAACTATAATCTTAGCCAAATTCCTTTACTTCTAGGGGTAACCTATTATTAGAAAAATATGGAGGAAGGTCCATTGACTATAAAACTGGATTTATTTCCTCGCCTCAGCCAAGAGGCCAATGTAAGAATGGAATCTAGTCGCCTTAGCCTCCAGGCCCAGGTCACTTTCCTACAGAATGCCTCAAAATCATCTGGTGAATTAATCTCTGCATGGTGACCAGTAATTTGTAGTTTTTAAAAGCTTCCTTCCTCGCAGCTCCCTTCCCCCCCTTAAAAAAACAAAAACAAAAAACCAGGTGCTTCTTAGGCAAACCAAGGTTTGATAAACATTGGTGTACAGAATCTGTGACCACAGCAAATGGCCTCTTGAGTCCCAGCAAAAAACTACTGTGCTCTGTAACCAGAAAAGTAGCGTCATTAGAACCTGATGCAAACAACAGCTGGCGACATCTGTACTGAGTAGTCATTGTAACCACCAGGGACGGCCTCGACCCTCTCATCTCCTAAGAAACTTAAAAAGTTACCAAAGGGCCCTCCCATAATTCCTCTGGCCCACAGTGATGCGTAGGGCGGCCACACGGTGCTAAAGTTAAGCCAACAGCTTTCTTCCCAGGAGTGAAGCCAGAGGAAAGGGACCCTGGGTGGCTGGCCATGCCCGAAGGGCGTCCAAAGGTTAACGACCCTCTGCCTGTTCCTTGGAAGGGCCAAAGTCCTCCAACGCTCTACAAGCCACCTGCCGGAAGTGCGTCGCCCCACCCCGCAGGGGCTGCTGGGAGTTGTAGTTAACTGGCTATTTTTCTTGCGCCCAATTCGCCTTTTTTCAAATACTCAAACACCTTGGAGCTGTAAGAAAGGTCGATTTGTGACCAACAAATCTAATCCTCCTCTTTTCCATCTGAAGGAGGAACGTTCTCAGAGATCATGCAGAATACCGGACTACAAGTCCCAGCATGCTGTGCAAAGCGCTCGAAGCGCCGGGCCACCGTCGTAGGGTAGTACCGGCCGCTTCAATGGAGCCTTTGGCGTAAGGCAAACCCTGCCACGGTCCGCAAGGCCGGTACCTGCTCCTGGATCGTGAGTGGGGGGGTGTGGGCCGTGCGCGTGCGCGCTAAGAGGGGGCGTGAGGCGGGAGCGCCAGCCGTTGCGAGCGCGTGGCTGCTGAAGTTAGCGGCAGCGGTGCCCCGCGCCCCGCGAGCCTGTCGTTGTGGGGCCTTCCGCCTCGCCCGGGGTGCGCGCAGCCGTGGCGGCCACCGGGGACCGCAAGGGGCGGAGGAAAGGAGGGGGCCGGCCTCGGCACTCGGAGGAACAGCCGAGCGTGACCCGAGACAACATGGCCTCCCTGATCCAACGGATCGCCCGCCAGGCGTGCCTCACCTTCCGAGGCAGCGGGGGCGGCCGCAGTGCTTCCGACCGCGGCTCGGTGCCAGGCCCCGAGGCGCCGGGGCCGCAGGGCTTCCCGGAGAACCTGAGCAAGCTGAAGAGTCTGCTGACCCAGGTCCGTGCTGAGGACCTGAATATCGCCCCGCGCAAAGCGACGCTGCAGCCGCTGCCACCCAACCTGCCACCCGTTACCTACATGCACATCTACGAGACGGACGGCTTCAGCCTCGGCGTGTTCCTGCTCAAGAGCGGCACGTCCATCCCTCTGCACGACCACCCGGGCATGCACGGCATGCTCAAGGTGCTCTACGGCACCGTGCGCATCAGCTGCATGGACAAGCTGGAGGCAGGCGGCGGGCAGCGGCAGCGAGCCCCACCGCCAGAACAGCAGTTCGAGCCGCCGCTGCAGCCCCGGGAGCGGGACGCTGTCCGGCCTGGCGTGCTCCGCTCGCGGGCCGAGTACACCGAGGCCAGCGGTCCCTGCGTCCTTACGCCGCACCGGGACAACCTGCACCAAATCGACGCTGTGGACGGGCCCGCTGCCTTCCTGGACATCCTGGCCCCGCCCTACGACCCCGACGACGGCCGGGACTGCCACTATTACCGGGTGCTGGAACCGGTCAGGGCCAAGGAGGCCTCCGGATCGACCTGTGACCTGCCTCGAGAGGTGTGGCTTCTCGAGACTCCGCAGGCCGATGACTTCTGGTGCGAGGGGGAGCCCTATCCAGGTCCCAAGGTCGTCCCTTGAAGCCGCGGGCGCCCAGGAGCGGTGGGCCGAAGACATGCGCTACTCAGATCTAGGCTCTCTCCCTACCCCCAGGCCGCCTGGTCATTGGATGTACAGGAGTGGGCTGTAGCCGCTTCCTCAGGAGCCTTAGGAAGCACGGGCGACTGGACTGCAGCCACCCGGCACGGTTATGGGGGCGGGGGAAGGCTAGGTTTCCTGGCTCTGTCACTGCCACCAGGGTTTTGATTTGGGGGGGAGGGGGAGGGGAACAGGGGACTATCTAAAGCGCTTCCATCCTAAAGCCATAATGAAAATATTCCCATTCTATACAAAATACACTGAAATGTTTTACCTCCCTGCATCGCCTCCACCTTGGGTAAATAGGGTTTTCCACTTTTGTCTTTATGTCTTTTACTCCGTATTATAGTTTTAATTTATTGACTGTGCATGACCCAGTGGTTTGAATTGTTTTTAGTTCAAGTCATTGGTTAAAAACTAGTTTTAAAGAGATGAGGTACTGTTTAAAGTGAGCTGCCTTGCCTGGTTAATTTGTTTTGAAAGTTAAATCATTTTTCCAGAGTTGGGGGATCATCCCCAGAACATAACTATGCATGTAGAGGACAAGATTTTCTTTCTTCCCTTTGCCCAATAGCCACATCTGGTTTACTCCAGCAGCATCTACTAAGAAATTCACACCTGCATATCTCAGTGGCCAATTGTCACATAGAGCTTATGTTCCCCATGAGCCTCCAGATCTGTGAGTTGAGCAGATTTCTTGTTGCAGATTCACCTTTAATGCAAAAACTATATTATCCTCAAGTGACTTTTTTTGTCATAGTGTAAGAGGTGGTAGGGTAATTCTGTATTTTATAATCAGAATATTCACAGGCACTGAATCAGTATGCTTCCAAACAACAGAATGTAAAATACCCATAGCCAGCTGTTGAATTCCATGTCCCTATTTACTAACAGTATTTTCCTGTAAAAGTAGAGAAAATGTTCAGGACTGTTTCAAATTCTCTCAGCCCTAATGTTCCAGAGGGCTGGTGGTTCCAGCTGTGTTGGTGGTGGCCCTGTTCTCAAACAGGAGAGAGCCAGTGCTTGCTTCATGGAGTGTGGTTTTCTGTAGGAAAAGAAGGCACTGGTGATCCAACCTACAGAACTGAGAATTAACTATCCTGCTGGCCATTTTAGGGCAGCAGAAGTCAGGGCAAAACTTCCCACTCCGAGCCCCTTGAACAGTTGTGCTATCTGTTTTATTTTTGTCCTTTTAACTGGCTGAGCAACTTGACCTTGTTTACAAACACATTGACACCATTTGCTTCAGGCCACGAAGCATTATTGTTTCCCCTTTTTTACTATTTATAGAATTTCTTTTTTCACGATCTTTTAATAAAAACAAATTGTAGAAATAAACACATTAAAATTTTCCCAGCTGTTGTCTAAGCCCTCTTGGTTGACTTGCCCATGTGGCAGTCCAGTTCTAATATATGTAATAAAGGGAGATTTGCTATTGGTGAAAAGGGTGGACCCTGTAGGAAAACAGTATGTGCCTTTTCCTTTTTATGCATACTGGGTTACACAGGCCCAGAGTGATGGAATATATGTTCCCAATTTTTAAAATAGAATGAAAAGGCAAATTCTTGATAAATTATTATTATTATTATTTACAAAAAGATGCTTCTTCAAGTTGACATGCCACTATATTATAAATCCTGACACAGGCATAACGCCAAGAATTTTCCCCCTGGGTTACTAATACTGTTTTATGGTAGCTTCATTTTCTGGCGTGGTATAATATCACTTCGGGGCATTTTGAAGCAGTTCTTCGTGTGTTCAGTTTGGAAATAAGTTCTGGATATGCAAACGATGATTTTCTTAGAAAAGCGTTCACCAAATGGGTGTTTTTCATAGCACAGTATGAATGTGTTTGGTTTTCAATCACATATCTACCTGTTTTGAATTATATTGTAGCAAAAAGTTAAGATTAACTTATTAAGATTATGGATAGTAATGTGAATGTTATAATACAACCTGGAGTACATTAAACTAACCTACAAAAACTCATTCAGGCAATAGGACAGTAATAAAGGAGAAAATTTTTTTTCCAAACTTCATTATGAAAAGTTATAAAGTTCTCAAGTACAAGCAAGTTGAATGAAAAAAACTAAGGTGCTTTTCAAAAGAATGACTGAAATTGTTGCAGGCCAAAACAGCAATATGATATTTCTAGTTTAGTTCAAAAGGAACAATGAAACTTCTGGTTCACTAATTCTAAATAAATTGATGGTGAACACAAAATGTAACCTGTTTAAGTGAGCCACAAATAAAAGAATATTCTTATTACAAAGACAAATGTGCAGAAAAACCTTGCACATTTCTGCATAAACTTAGTCATTACCGACTTCATGTGCTGCTATTGTATTTCCATGTATTCCTGCAATATAGACTGATTTAGTAACAACTGTGGGAAAAAGTTGTCTTCCCTACAAAGACTAATGAGCACAATGATACTCATCACTTAACTTTTCTTTTGGATAACATGCAATAATTATTGCCTCTCATGGGTAAGAAGTCGTCCGTCTAAATACTTCTAAAGCTTTTTAATTTTCTGGTTATAGCAATGGCCACATATCAATGGAGAGTATTATGTACCTACCTACTACGTTATGAGAATTGATTTTTTACTAAACCTGATTTGTATAGATTGAGTTTATACCAATTGCTGTTTATTAATGAAAATGGTGAGCCTATTTTTAAAGCAATATGTGTTTGTCAACAGGAGTGGATTCTCTAACATTGTAATACTAATATCCCTTAACTTCTCCCAAAATCTCCACCTTTTATTCCTCCCTTTGCATTGTCCCCTTGTAGGTGCCTCAGTCTTGGCATCCCAGGAGGACTCTGTCATCATTCATCTATTCCAGCCGACTTTGAATCTTGTGCTATGGCTCTACTGCTTGATGAAGAAGCAATATATCTTTAATTCAGGCCTCTGCCCATTGCTATTCAACTCTAACCTGAGGGCAGTAACACTGATGTAACTCTCCTGGTCTGAACTCAGGACCACTGATCCCTTTATGTAATGAGGCATCTACTGTCAAAGAGGGGAATCATTTGTTAAACACCATAAAAATATTGAATCTTTAGATCCAGGTATGTTTACATTTCTGGATTAAAATTGGTGTACTTATGAAAATAAAGGCATGTTTGAAATTGTTTAGAGGTAAATCTTATTTGATTATTGCAAAATGGAGAAGGAAAGTATTACTTGGTTTGATGACAACATTTTAGTTGCTGTTAAAGGTTCATGGTCTATACTGTAAGAGTATGTTGTGCTAAAAACTGGTGGCCTGCAGATTCTAAATTTTATTTCCTTGAGAGTGAGCTTTGAAACAGTCTAATTGAAAACATATCTGAAACTGTTTAATGTTTAATCATACTACTTTGCTGCAACAGAAAATATGTTTTCTATTTAACCTAAGGAAAAATAAGCTAGTGCAAGAAAACAAAAATACTTTCATCCACAGAGGCAGGAATTTTTGGACTTAAATATTTTCTTGTCTTTCCTTTTACTGTGAAACGTGTTTGTTTGAACTGGAGGCATTTTAGGCACTTACTATGATACCATTCTTTTACACACACACACACACACACACACATTGTATTGAACTGTTAAAAATATCACTAGCCATTTTTAATATATATACCAAATGATGTGCCTTAATTTCATTAGCAGTCAGGATATTGAAATTAAATAGCCTGGTTTATGAATAATTGAAAACCATATTTAGGTTTAATAGACCTATTTTTAATGTTCACTGAACCAATCCAAATGCATGTGATCTTTAAGGAATTGCTCTCCACAATTTATTTTTAATTAGAATTCCCAGTAGCAGCTGAGACATCAATAAATAATATTCAATAAAGCATTGACTATAAGAAGGAACTGACTTGGCTTTATATGCTTTATTTATTGAGCAAAGTGAAAAATGAGAAACCTGTGAAAAGTACCTGAATGTTTCAAGCCAGAAGTAAAATCTGATTAAAGATTGACCTAACGTTGAAATCTAAGAGTAAATGCCACAAGGTTGACTCTGGAAAAACACCTTACTGTATGTTACACCATGTCACCAAGCCCATGTCAGGATAAAAGTGATTATGTAACCAGTTTGACATAAGATGTATTTAATCTTACTCTTTTTTTAAAAAAGCCTTTGTAGTCTGTTGCTTTGTAAAGAATTGTTTACATTATCTTGACCAGAGTTGCTCTAAAATTTAAATTTGGCAAGACAATTATAGGTCTTATAAAACTTAGGTGTGATATATTAATATAATGAAAATTTGGTAGGAGGGAAGTCTTCGTTAAAAACATAATTATCAAACTGTGGCATTCATTTTATACATGTTAAAATTGGCTAAGCAAGGATAATATGCTGACAAGTCAGGAAACGTGAATCTAAGAGAATAACACCAGTCTAGAACAATCTGACACTGAAGTTTAGAAACTTCTACTTAGTTGTTATAGAAAGAGGTATTCTACGTCTTTGAAATTTGGACAGGGAAGAAACAAGAAAGGGGTTTATTACTTCCACATATTAGATCTCAAATTGTAGTGTTCTTAAGGGCAAAGAGTAGTTTCCAGGTGTAGCTGTTGCTGTCTGCTGAAGTACTGGCCATCATTTATCAGCCAGGAGAAACAGGACAGTGTTCAGACAATGTAGCTAAATAGTGGGCACTTCAGTGTGTTACACTTGTGTGAGGATCCAGAGCAGTGGATGAAGTTAAATATTTAGGCCCAATTTTAAAGAAACGTAACTTCATAAAGACAATCATTTGCTTTGTATGCTAGTTGACAACTTTTTTTGGTAACTTTATATTTTAAAATCACTACAAAAGGCTCCCTGTAAAGTGAACCCCATAGTGTACTCTTGCAAACCATTAACTAGTACCATGGACAATATTTGCCTATTTAATTCAAGTTGTCTTTCTTTGAGATTTTAAATGCTGGTGTACACCTATCTTATATAATGAGCTGGGTAATTTGGTAATCTCTAAACCCACCAAACCTATGGCAGATGAATGATCCTTCCAAATAGGGGTAATCGGGGAGAAATGAGTCCTGGGGTAATTCCTTTGACAACCCAATAATGCTGTCATCCGCAGTGTCTGAATGCATTTTTTGATCTGAAGAGGTGATAGCCCTTTTCAAAAAGTTT